CTCTCTCTCTCTCTCTCTCTCTCTCTCTCTCTCTCTCTCTCTCTCTCTCTCTGTCTTGAAGCAAAGGGTCTTTAAGCCCTTCCCTGATCATCTGCGAACGAAAACTGCAGGTAATCTCCGGGTTCGCGAGATTCAACGTTCTCAGGGTTTACTTGCGCGAATGAAACGCATCCTATCTACCTGGCGGATTATACCCGCAGGATGGAAACAACTGCCGAAAATAACCCTCAGTCACCATAATCATCCAACTGTTTTCGTGAACAGAGCGTTTTCCTCATAACTATTCGTATATCCGCTTACGTACTTCTCAAGACGAAAATTTTGTCGAATTGAGTCGAGATACTACTTTTCTTTTTTGTATATTGAAACAAATTAACTGATGTGCCTAAGTAATTAGTAAGTTTTCGCCGCGTAAAATAAGTCATAAAACCACGATTGCTAGTACGAGAGATTTTGTCGGAGAAAATATAGTTTCGTATATAAATCCAAATAAATCCTTTATCCAAGAATATGTCGATAAATTTGAGAGGTAATAGAAGCCTATTCGATGGGGCCTATTCAACGAATTTTTTATACTTACCCATAGAATACAGTTCAGCTGGCAGATGTACCTGCTAGCAGTCGATTACGCGGCTTTTATAATCGAGACGTCTCAATTTCACGACTTTGGCCCTAAGAAAAAACTAACCTCGCACGGTCTCCCTTTTGATGCCTTCACCTTGTAGCAACCGCACATCTCCCGTGGAATCACTGCCTATTTCTTGTACCCTTGGACCAATCCGGAAGCCCCCCTATAAGATACTTCCGAAATCACGGAAGAACCAAAGTAATCGGGGAATCAGTTTCACCGGTATTCTGGCGAAGATCGCGATTTCAGAAAGTCTTTAGAGACTCGTAAATTACACGAAGAAAAATAATTTTGCTCTTTTAGCAAAATCATTGTTGCTACTGTTATTCGTAGTGACATAAAAAAAATTTAGTTGACGTAAATAATTACAAATTATTCATTATCAGAGCAGAAGTAGTTTCGTTGCCAGGATAGAAAAAAATTTGTTGAGTATATTTATCCTAAGAATCACGTTAATTTGCTATTGATGCAAAATAATATATCCTTAACAAATTTATTTGTTATCGAAGCAAAACTGCAACTGCTTATATAAATCTATCGTGGTTCTTATAGCAAAATAATTTGTAGATTCAGCAAATTATATCCAGCAAATAGTGATTAGTACTCTTAGCAAATCCTTTTACTGTCCATATAATAACGACAAGATTTTACTAGACCAGCAGAAAATTTGCTGGGTCAACAAATTATTTTTCTACGTATAGATAAGTAAAGCGGAGTTTAAAATTGAATTCGAAGTGATCGTGCAATCGTATGTTATTCTTCGCGATTTCGTTTAATTAAAAACAGATTTTGCTTTGGATAGTTGAAAAACAGAAAATGTTTACGAATTTTTTCCAAAAAGCGTATAAAGATATGAGGTTTTGACCATACTATGTATCATTATTTTAAGTATAAAAAATTATTTTCGATTTAAAAAAGGATTTGATATTTTGTTGTTCAGATTTTTTATGCGATATCGCGAGTTATACAAAACTATAATGTTGTCCATTAGAGGCTTCCAACGATATCGCGCTCATCACAAAAACCTAGACGGAACATCAATTAACTTTAAATAAAAAAATTTTTTTTACTTAAAACAATGATAAATAGTATATTAAAATTCTATATCTTTGTTTGAAAAAAATTCGTAAAAATCTACTTTTCGACTATCTAAATCAGAGCCTCGCCTTAATACCCCTTTTTTAATTGGAATAATTCTTACGAAACAAGCTGATCTCTGGCTAGCAATAATTGAAGATGATAATCCGAATTAGTAATTATGAATTGACCGAGTCAATCGTTTCTAACCGATAGCTGGTGATTTTATAACGCTTGTAATCGAGAGCCAAGCATTGCGCAGAGTTTTCGCGTTTGTTTAGCTCGGGAAGTTATATTGCGGGGCTCCTCTTATCGAGAGCAGATGCGAATTTCGCTCGAGGCCCGGCGGCGATTCGTTCTTCAATAAGTAACACATGACCGAGTGCGAGCGTTTTGATCGCTTTCGCTCGCCTCGCCTCAGCTCGGCTCGACGGCGTTTAGAAAAAATCGGTCCCGTTCATCATATAGTCGACCCCGATAAGCAGTCAAAGTTATTAACTACTTTATGGATCGCACGATATTCCGCGCTTCTCGCGTTAAGCCTTGGGGAGAATCATGAAAATATTTCGATAACATCGATACGTCCGCATTCGATCGGGTCATTCTGTGCCCTCTCCACTACTCAGTTAATTCCAGTAACACGCATTACGTACTTTGGATTTCTCAAGAAAAAAGATCGCACTATTATTATACGCCGTCAATAGCGGAACGGCTTCGTCATTAATTGCGAAATCGCTGAATCTACAATGTCGATTTCCACGTGACTCTGCGAATATTAATTTTAGCTCGCATCACTTTGTTATCTTCAAACTAAGACATTATTTTCTTCTACGTTTCATCTCTGCGTCTTTTTCGCATTTCACAAATCCGTGGAAATTTATTAGTACACAAAGAGATTATCAAATATCAATTTATATTTTCTTTTTTATAATCGATTAAACAGGAGTTGAAATCTTTTTATCATGTAACCGCGATAAAAAGGAACACCATCTATGTGATAAAAAATTATCTGATATCCGACGGATTAAATTGGAACTTGTTTTCTTTTTTATTTTGCAGGAAAGATGAAGGTAAAGGAAGAGAAGGACGCCTCCTCCATGGCACCCGGAAGTCCACCCACGCCTCCTCATACCCCGCAAAGTCCGCAACGCGCGATCCCACCCCTCGGCAACCTGTCACAGTCCTGTCAAACGTCAAACGCGAATTCGCCGAATCTACAACAGCAGCAGCAACAGCAACCCCAACATCATCAACAGCAACAGCAGAAACAACATCAATCTCAAGAGCAACAACATTCCCTGCACGCCATGGCCAATTCGTCCCTGAATCAAATACTGGTGCAGAATCCAGCGCTGGCGCAACTGCTGCAGCAGAATCCCGCGATCCTGTCGCAGAATCCGCAGTTGGCGCAGCTGCTGCAACAGAATCTACAGGTTCAGATGGGCAGCGTGCTCTTTCAGAACGTGAGGCGGGAGGAACCCGAGGAATCCAGAGTGAGTCTCTTTTAGAACAAATATTCCGATTGTAAATAAAATTACGGCTCTTTCTCTTTCACACACACTCGAGCGTACTCCTCGGTTCGAAGTCCATCAATACTCTCAAGGACTCTTCTTGAACTCCACAGTGACGTTACGGCGAAGTAACCGCGGTACACTATGGGATTAATTCGTGGCGCCGCGATCACGGAGGTCTCTGATGATTGCGCGATTTGTAAAAATTGAAGTAGCGTTGAACGACCGGTAGGTATTGCGTGAAAAGAGAAACGATCGCGAGCTGTCCGAAAACAATACGGCGGTGAGTCATCTCTCATCGTATTCCGACAACTCTTGACCATCGCTAGATCGTAAAGTTACCAGCCCGGGAGCTGCGTGTGTGTGCTTAATTGTGCTAGAATAATTCAGAGGTTCTCAGAATCGTACGCGACGAACAATCGGTTATGATACGTCGTAATAAAAGTCGATACAGACCTCGCGGCTTAGACATCATTCCCGAGTCGAATGCCTTCGAGCCTTTATTAATCAAGCCTTTCATTTCCGGATTCCCGTTATTATCTGAAGCTTCTCGACTTCGGGAGAGCCGACAGTATAATACAGCAATTGAAATGGAATTTTGGAACTTCGTGGTACACTAAGAAGAAAAATCCTTGAAAATTTATTATTTGCGTGATGTAAAGTTTATTTCTCTGCGAAACACAAAGTTCATCTCTGCGAATAGACTCCTGTCCACAAATAAATTCTCAGGTATTTTCTTCTCAGCGTATGAGAAAATCTGTTCGTTCAGCAGGGTCGACTCGAGCAGATTCGACGACGATATGTAGGAGTCGGCGCGCGATCTCGTTATCATAATGCCGTTATCAACGACGCGCTTTCGCGACGAGCGCGCCCGGGCACGTACGTGTACGCCGTGGCGCGCCAAAGCGGAGACACGAGACCGCGCGGACGACGATCCGACTATGGGATCGCTGCCGTGGAATCCCATACGGGGAGAATTGAAATTATTCCCCCGATTTTTGTCGTGTCGTTTACATTATTTTCGCCTTTGAATATTAATGGGCATATGCTCTCCGGCGTTATGGCACAAGAAGTAACAACGGCGTATAATACTCGAGAGTCTTAACGTTATTCTATTGTTTGCAAATCAGCTCTATTGTTTTCTCATATATGCCCCTATACTCTCTCGCGTATGCCCTCCTCTCGTTCCCCTCCTCGCGCTACCCCCGCTCTCTCCCCCTCCTCATCCTCCTCCACCACCTCCTCCTCCTCCTCCTCCTCCTCCTTCATCGGCGTGCCCTCCCCTTTCCTTTGCCCCTCGTCGTTCTTTCTCTTATCGTTACCCCTCTCTTCTTCTCTCTGTCGCTCTTCTTCGATTCTCTTCTTCCTCCTCGTCTCTTCTCGGCACTCTTCGCCCTACCCCGCTGTCCCATTCCGACCTTTTTCTCTTTCTTCGTCCTCCGTGCTTCTCCCCCTGTACCCCCCCCTCTCTTTCCCCCCTTCCCCCGTGCATACGTCCGCATTATGTACATCGCGGTGCACATTATTTTCCATTCGTTTCCTCGCGCGTTCGCGTTTTCTCCTCGTGCGCATTTCCTCGCGACCCGACGCAAGGAAAGGGCGCCAATTCGAAGTGCTTCGCGCGCTCGTCGATCTCCCTTCGCGGATTTTTCTTCGGACGACCCTACGCGCGCCGATTGTTCGCCGGTATTGCTATGCGCGATACGCCGCGGCAGTCCGCAATATTAGGCACGCGGTACGTCGGCGGTAATAAATGAACGGGGAATATAAGTGGTCGATTGGAGATTGCAGAACTCCGACGGAACGCGATGGTCACGTACGTGAGGCGAGTTCTATTAGATTCGACGGAATTAATCGATTGTTCCGGGCAAACGCTTCGGAATCGCTCCTTCTCAGCCGCGGGATGAAATTCATATAGTTCGGGACGCTCGGGGGGAATGCGTTCTGATGCAACAATGCGTCACAGCGCGTTTACGTAGTCGTGCGTTATTCAGATTATGCCAGTCGCTCGCAGGTATACTAAATAAAAGTTCGAGGCTTCCGATGAATTCACGGTTCCCGAAAGTTTTAATGAACTCCGAGTCCCTTTAAGTTTCCTTGAAGCGGCTCGTCGATTGAATTCGACGAGCGCGACGGTGTCGAAAGAGTAATTTTTCGACGGCTCTGAGGAGGAGGCAGGAGAGGAACGACGGCGCGATGTAGCAATCGCTTCGTGAATTCAACGACGTCGCGGCACGGATCTCAGCTAAGGCTTCGGAAATCGTACAGTATTCGAATAATTTGCACCGCGATGGGGCTTCCGGCAAGTGTCGTTTCTTCGCGAGCGCGCGGCCGACACTTCTTTCTCGGGACAGTGTCCGACTCTTTTTAGGTCTCCCGATTTTAATTTCGGCATCTCTCTTCGACGAGCGGCAGATCATCCCGTGGACACTCGCACGACACGCCGACAAGAGACGGTTGTACGGAATTGATTTACTCATTTTGAAATTAAGACTCTCGTTCAAATGTAGAAATCGAGGTAATAGGTCCGGCCGTGGGGTGATTTCATTACTTGGTAGCGGCGGGGTTAACATAGGGGTATTACGCGACCATTACGAGCGGGCCCCGCGGGCCGTAGCGCGCGATTAGTCGGCGGAACTGCTAAGTCCTTCGGATCCGCGCGATAGGTTTACGGAAACATCTCGCGTCTGCCGCGTGGGCGACGGGGCTCCCCTTTCGCTTCTCCTCCCGCATGTACGGCCCTGAGCGCGCCAGTGCATTGTACATCGTAATGTATTTCTTTTAGGTACCGCCGACAATAGCGAGCCTGGCGGCGATGAAGGTGGAGGCAGCTGACCCGAAGGTTTCCGGTGAGTTACTATTTCCTCCCGCTGACGGAATTATCGGGATCGTAATTAGATTCGAATCGAGACTACCGCGTTCGATGACCCTGCCCGAGCGCGAACAACAGGCGGCAAAGAATGAACGGGCGTAGTGGAAAAAGCTGCGGCTACAGCGGGCGCGAGAGCCACCCAGTACTTCGCGATCTGGTCAGACCGGGCGATTTGTTTGATCGGTCGCTTTGACCGTTTGAGCAAACCTATCATTAGAACGGAGACATTGTTGTCGATCGTACACGGCGACGCTTGACCTTTAACGACGGTCGGGATAGAAATAATCGGTATGCGTCCACGCGCGTTCGCCAAAAGTCGCGCCCGTGCGCGCGCGTATTCTCGCTGCGGAAGCGGCCGGATGCGGACCGATATCGGGCTGACGAATTTTCTCTATGAACGAAAAATCGTCGCCAATTGTCGAAATCGAAAAGTGCTGTCACGACTTTAGGGAATTTCTATTTTTATTTCTCGCAACACAAAAATTAATGAGGAAGGTTCCGTTTAGAGTGGGAAAAAACTTAAGTTCGGCCAAGGATTTCTGTTTTTCTTTTTTGCAAGACAGGAATTAATAAGAAGATTTCTGTTTAACGTGGGAAATACTAGAAAAATTTAGGTTCTATTTTTATTTTTTGCAATACAAAGATTAGTAAATACAGTTTTGTTTAAGATTAACGTGGGTAAAAAAATGGGGAATAATTATTGGAAAAATTTAGATTTGATAAGATGAGCGCAGAAAAGTCTATGGCAGACACTTTTGATGCATGCATTTACACTGTCAAACGTCGAAATTCAGCAATTAACATTTTACACTCAACTCTTATGAGTCAAGTTACTCACGTTGGTGCTATTTTCACTTTTTACAACACAGAAATTGATAAGTTTCGTTTAGGATGGGAAGAGTGGTAAATAATTATTAGAAAAATTTGACAAAGTGAATGTAGAAAAATATATGACAGACTAAGGCACTCTTGATGCATGCATTTGCACTGTCAAACATCAAAATTTAACAACTGACATATTACGATCGGCTCTTATCGGTTATTCACATTGGTGCTCTTTTTATCTTCGCACAAAAGATAAGAATAGAATTCTACCAGCGGCGGTCCCGCTTACTCTTGTCTGCTGTTAATGATGATGCGGAGATAAGCTCCGCAGTTTCGCAGCTATGTTTTTTTCCCGTGAATCAATTTCCTTTTCTGCCGCGAAGCGGTGGATTTTCCAACGAGGATTAATAATCGGCGCCCGCGGAGCAGACCGGAGGAATCGCATCCCGCGTGCGATTGCCCGCAGTAGGCCCGCATCTTTGAGTAATTATCGCGCATTCCCGGGTGCCACGTGACAAATCTAAAGCTATACGTAAAGCCGGCGAGAGCGCGCCGTCGGCTCTCCCTATGGCCTTTATTTGTCCCGATCCTCGATCCTCGCGAACCCGTGAATCGTGGGCAACCTGACGAATCGCGGCCGTCCGCTGCTTTCAGTGTTTTGTGCCCGGGGGCAGTTCCCCCTTTATTGGAATATCCGCCCACAGCATTATGGGAATTATCAAGGAAATGGGATGAGTGCCAACAGCTCCCACGAGGGGGCACGAGGGGGGTTGCTTCGGCCGCGTTGACAAAAGAAACTCGTCGATTCCTTCGTTCCTCCCAACACCGCCCGGTATTTGCTGAACATGCGTGGGCGAATTTATTCGCGCAATGTAAAGATTTGCATAATGAAAAGATACATTTTCGGATGAGCTTTCTCTTCCTTTTTAATCAGCGTGAGAGTAAAAACGTGTCACGAAGGAGGATCAATCTGGTAATCAAATCGTCACTTTGCAAAAATCGGGAATCGGTGGTTGAAAGAAATTATGATTCGCTGCTTGCGGTAATGGACTGGAATTTTGTATCACGCGAAGAAACGTTAATATGTGTGTTTTTCCGGTAGATAGCCATTCTTGAGATCAATCGTTTCTCTTTCTCATTGACACGCGAACCGTCCATTCTCTGCGAGATTGCGTCGACGACTCGCGACGACGACCTCGCGATCGGCAATTCGCCGCGCGACGAGTGTCGCGTCGGAACCGTGCAAAGATTCCGCGACGGAAATCACGGCGTTCAGGACGAAGAGGGACACGTGAGGGGGACACACGTAGCGTAGAGAAAGAGAGAGTGGGCGGCCTCCGTTGGATTTTCTCGTCCAGTGACATATTCCCACAATTTCGGATCGGCCAATCGACGCCGACCGGACGATATTAAACGCGTGGTGGGATCTGCAGCGAAATGGAATAAAATAAAATGTACGTTGTACGTCGTTCGTGCGCGCGCGGCTAAGCGGGACACATCGAAAGGAGACAGAGAAAAAGAGACAGAGACAGGCAGAGGGAGGGAGACACGAACGGGGGAGAGGGGAGAGTGAAGCGAGCCAACGGGAGAAAGAGAGCGCGCGGGTGTGCGAGAGGAGGATAGAGCTGTAGATGTATGAGTACGCGGAAAGAGAAAGAGAAAGAAAACGCCGAGAGAAAGAGACACGGGCTCTCGACGAGAGGGAGAGAGCGGGAGAGAGAGAGAAAGAGAGATGCTAGCAATCAAAGCTGATTAAGCCCACAACTGGGGAATCTGTGGGGCCAGTGTCTCACGCCAATCTCGCCCAATCAGCCGGTTGGCCGGGGAGATTTAAAAAATAGAATGCCTACTGTCAATTGTCCCATAATTTAAATAAATCGAATAAATGGACAAAGTGGCCAATTAGAGTAGTTGCTGGTTGCTGCTTTAACGCATTATTCTCTCTTTCTCGCAGTGTCTTCGACTCTCCTCTCTCGTCCGCCCCCTTCGGCGCCCCCTCCCCCGTATGCCCCATCCTTCTTCTCCACCTCCTTCATCACCTTCTCCTCCTCCTCCACCGTGTCGAAGATGCGCTTCTATTTCCCCCCTTTGTACCCTCCCGATATGTCGTCGTCGTCGTCTTTTTAATTCTTCGCGTTTGACACGCGGCGGCCACCTTGCGTCTAGGTGCCTTCATTACATCGTGGAGAAGATGAGCGTCAACGGCGATACGCGTAGTACATGCAACGTGCGAGATTGGTAACGCGAACATTAGGCCGTTAAGCTGCTCTCTCGCGGTCGACTCGGACAGACTTTTCAAAATTACCGTCACTCCGTCATCGCGAGACCGCTATCTCGAATGGTGGGCCCTGATAGATATCGCTAATTCCATTCTTCCCTTCGCGATTGATATCGTAGACCGCGCTGCGTTCGCGCTCCAGTCTCGTCATGGGCATAAATTCTCCAGAAGTGGTGCCGATAAGTCATTTCGTAAATCAGTCCGCGATAAATCTCTTCCGGATTTCGCGAGCGGTTGGATTGCTCGGAATTTTGATATCACTTTGTCATTTCGTTCGGAATATTTTCAAGTGGTCGATAGCGCCGCCGTAAATGCGATAAGGGGAAGATGCGTAGTCGGGGAGGAGAGGAAGAGCCGTTGCGCCGATCGATCACGCCACGGTCTCCGAATTCTACTCCGCGGACCGGACTTTACTAATTACAATAATTTACGGCCCCGACAATTATCGCCGTCGTACATGCGCCACGCACATATGTACGCCGACGCCGCCGTCGCCGCCGTCTGCACCTGTTCGACATACGTTTACGAGGAAGCTTAACGGCCCCGTTGATATCTGCGGCCATCAATTTCGTGCAAATACAATTTAATTAAGCCGCGCTATCGCGCCGCGGCCGGCCAGTAATGTCGGCATCGTCGAATCCTAACGACCGCATCTGTCAATTCGCCAAGGGAAATGCTTAATTAGTCGGCGCGCATAATCTTGCGGGTAAGAGTGCGCTAATAGCGCAAAAAACCGCTCACCTCGATATTTTCACCGGTTCCAATTATCGGCTTCTCGTTACACGCTGCGCGCGCGCGCGCGCGCGACCATACCTGAACAATCGGATCGCGCGTACAGGATAATTCGTTTTCTTCGTTTCATTCCCCGAGAGAATACAGGAGAACGCGGAGGGAACGAGAATAATCGTCAGAAATACATTTTTATCTTCGCGATAGGGCGGGACGCGGGGGTACTGTGATTTAAACGGCTCCCTTAACGCGTCTAATTGCACGAAACGGATTCATTATCGTGGAGTCGCGGCTCTCTGGAAGGCGGACAGTGTAGGTGCCTGCGTAAGATGCGCACATGTATCTACCTACCTACCTACCTATCTACCTACCTACCTACCTACCTACCTACACGGACTGCAAGTCTGGCCAGGCAGCCGAGAGCAGGCAAATAACAAATAAAGCATAAACGGGAGCTACGATAAATAACTGGTGCACTGCTCTCTCTGCATATAGTGCCGGCTGTGAGCCCTCCGGGGGCCAGCCTCGCTTTCTTTCCCCCTGCACCCCGGCTGGGCCCCTCATTCCGTCCGCGGAACGACCCACCGCCCCCACCTATATTACCTGCCGCAGGATCCACATACGTGCAACGATTCAAGCTACGAAGGGAGTTCAAGTCTCGGCGACCTCCACTTTCCGTTCGTAGCGCGACGGCATAGCGATCGGGGCTCGCGAGAAGTTGAGGAATCTCTCTTTCTCTCACTCTCTCTTCTCGAGCGCACCTAGACTTTTCGGGAAACGACCTGAGCGATTGCGCAAGCCGTATGTATCGAGCCGTTATCGTAGGAAGCGTACATTAATATGTATAGAGCGGCGCTGAATCATTCGCAGCCGTGTGTGATTGTGTATTGGGAATTATTAAATTGGGGAGTGACGTAAAACTCTTGCGAAATGAGTTCCCCGGGAAGAATGGTTGCCCTGAAGCTTCGAGAGCTGGAAGGTCGAAGGAGAGCCTTCATCGATTGTCGAAATTTGCGCTTTTCACTCGCTTGGCAGCGAGGAGTAACGGAACGCGTGTTCGTGATGTCCGCATGCGTGTATAAATTCGACAAACCAACTGTAATCTATCACATTTTTTCTCGCGGCGCGGTAAACGGTCGGCGCGT